TGGTTTGAAGGTTGAGAAGTTCCACATCGACGAGGAGATCAAAAAGATACATGTTTATAAACTGCTTTGGATGGACCCATAACAAGTTGCGTTGCTCATGTTAAGTATTTGGATGGGTTGCTATGCTAATAACCCAGCGGATCTCAGGCTTTTACAAAACTGGTTGGTTGAACCCGATTGGGACTGGGCCAAAATGGTTAGACTATCTTATCACATCCAATGTGTAACTCGAACCAGCCAAAGGATAACCCGGTTACTGGGTTGACCCAGCTTTCTTATGTCTTGGTTAAAAACTGAATGCAACTCGATACATAAATATACATACTTCTAAATAATAATAGAAAGGGTAAATCTCAACATCGGATAATTTTTTTAAATACTAATAATACTTTAGTCTAATGTATATTAGGGTTTTTAGCTTAAATAAAATATTTTTAACTATACATACATGTATGTATGTATGTATACCCAAATTTGGCCAAGTAATAAGTAAGGGTTTAAATAAATAAATTTAAAATATTTAATAATATAAAATTCTACTTAAAAATATAATTAAATCTAAATAATTTCAAAATTAAAATGAGTTGAACTCGAAAAAAAAAATTAATTTGCATTGAACCAAGTTTAAGTTAAAATATATATATATATATATATATATTTTTAAATTAATTTATCCTAGGTTAAAAAAATTAATCAAAATCTTTTTTTTTAAAGTTATTTCTTTATAGGATCCTTGCCCGCTTCTTTTAAAAATAACCATTGCCGTATATTCATTTTGGCAAAATGGCTCAGCTCGAATTAGTTGATACTTTAATATATTACAGCACAGTGGCGGAGCTAAGATTTCATTTCAGCTGGGGTCAAAAAATTTGACACATCAAATTATTAAAATTATTAGGAAAAAAATAATCATGAATTCTAGCATATTTATCTAAATTATTTATTAAATAATATCACTTAATATTAAAAATTTAAATAAACAATAGACAACTATTACATATCAAAACAAATAGCCTAATACAACTAACGTATTCTTTTAAAAGTTCTCACTATTTAACGTTATATATCAAAAATTCTCATTATATATCACATTTAACGTTACAAATAGCCTAAACGTATATCAAAACAATAGGCTATTAAATGAAAAATAATTTTTAAAAAATTCAGCAGGGGCCAGGCCCCATCTATGCACTACGTGGCTACGCCACTTATACTGTACTTGGGAACTAGCTAAGCCGATGAAATTCAAGTGGTTAATATTGTGATGGTTCGATGAAATTGACTGAGTTAAGAAATGATTTGAACTCATGAAATTGAAATGTTGAAGAACAAGTGAAGTGCAGCAAATCAAATCACTGTTAAAATAATCTCTTATTTAGTGTGCATATGCTTGAAGTGAGTTCTAATATTCGTTGTTTCTCAACAACTAACACTTAAAATTAAGGAAAATCATTATCTCATTTTACATTTTACGTGAGATATAATTATCTTATGTTATTCTCGTATTAAAAATTGTGCTATCATTTTTATTTTTATTTTAATAGGTGGTGGGTCTCATCACATCATATGTTTATAGTAGGAGATAACTATACAACATGAGAAAATAGAATCCCTAAAATTAATTGCATGCTTTTGGCCTGAAAACAAACAATTTTACCTTAAAATCTACTTGCAAGCAAACTGGATTTATATTAAAAATAAAATAGCATTTCAATAACAAAGGGCGTTGGGTACTCAGTCTTCCCCACTCCTATGGAGTTCTTTAGCTCATACCCATAGGATTATGAGCATGCAAAAACAGTAACAAGAAAAGCAATAAAAAATTAAACAAAAATCAAATAAAATTATTCCAGAAGCTACACCATATGATGAGCTCTGTTATAACCTTCCAAAATAAAAATACCTAAAAAGCACAAAATAAAAACCCTTCAGAACATACCCAAGAGCATACCCTCATTTTACCCTTTAAAATTCTTCTCTTGTTATAGGCAGGTCCCCTCTCTACTATCCATTTTTTTTTTTTAAATACAATTAGGGGCTAAAGCCCCAAGAAACAAAACAAAACTAGCACATAGAATCCATGGCCAGCAGCGGCCCAATCCCCATAGGGCGATCCTTATACAAAATAAAGTTTTCCTCTCCTGGGAAGCTAATTTTAGCCAACATATCAGCACATCTGTTTCTACCTCTGGCAATGTGAATGAATTGAATATGCCACTCCTCTTTTCTCCATTCTTTAATGCAGTTTACCATGTGTAGGGGGGCACCTTCCCCATCGTTCTTGTTAATTGCCTCTATGGCAATAGCCGAGTCGCTTTCCACAATAAGCTGCTTAGCTCCTTTATCCCAGGCAACTTGCAGCCCTTTGTTGATAGCCCATAACTCAGCAATCAAAGGGGAACATCTTCCTATCCGATACGAAAAGCCTGATACCCACATCCCATTCTCTTTTCTTATGAGGCCACCACACGAGGCTATCCTTTGATTCTTCTCAACTGCCCCATCAACATTCAACTTCCACCATCCAGTGGGTGGGAGACACCATTTCTCGTTGCTAGTGATCCTGGCTGGGATGGAATTGCGCATGTTGTTGTCCAGAGCTGACATAATATCACTAATATACCTTGAGATAGTGAGTATTGGTTTAAATGGCCGGCTCTCCTTGGGATTGCGTATCTCCTGGTTTCTCCAATACCACAAATGCCAGATTGTTGTCATGAAAACATCTATCCATCTGAGGTTGAGACTGCTATTCCACTCTTCATTTAAGTTCTTTGCCAGCCACTCATCTAGTCCTACCGTGAGGAACTCATCAGGAACCGCATTACTAAACCAGTCTTTCCAGACCTGAGTTGCAGCTGGGCAATCTCTCAACACATGCAGAGTATCTTCTACTTTGTTAGTGCATTTGAGGCAGAAGGCATCTCCTCCCCACCTCGAAGTTGTACTCTTTGTAAGCAGTTTATCATGTAGCACAAACCACGCAAAGGTTCTCATCCTCATAGGACCTTGCCACTTCCATATAGACATCCATATATGGTTGGTAGCTAAGTATTCAAAACCCATAATAGCCGTGTAGGCATTTTTGACAATTCTCCCTTCCCCTACGTCCTTTTTCCAAATAAGCTTGTCCTGCCCCTTGTTAGAATTGGGAGGGGGGATAGCTCGAATTATCTGAACAGTGTCCTCTTGAAGAAATCTTCTGATCAGCTCGAGGTTCCATTCCCCAGTTGTACTATCCATAAGCTCCTCACACGTTTGGATGAGACTTGTATTATCTAGAGGCCTACTGGTTAACACATTCAGAGGGATATCCAAATCTGTCCAGCAGTCCTGCCAAAACAAAGTATCTTTCCCATTTCCTATATCCCATTGAAGCCTGTTCAGAAACTCATCCCAAATCCCGCAAATACCTTTCTAGAGGCTTGAATCATACCTTTGAGCTTTCACTTGCCTTCTCCAGTCCATTTGTCTGCCATATTTCCCTCTTAGGACTCTAACCCAAAGCTCCTCACTCTTATTCAGAATTTTCCAAGCAACTTTGCACAGAAAAGCTTCATTATGAGCTTGGAGATTCCGAATACCCAGCCCCCCCAGCATTTCTGGGTCTGCAGAGGTTTTCCCAAGCCAGTAAGTGAGGTTTTCTCGAGATGTTGGAATCCCCCCATATAAAGGCGCGTTGGATTTGCTCCATTTCCTTACAAATAGCCACAGGCAGCACCTCGTGCTGCATATGGTAGGACGGAATGGTGCTTAGCACTGAGTTCGCTAGCGTTGTTCTACCTGCAAAGGATAAGAAATTACATTTCCAGCCCGCTAGCCTCTGCCTCACTCTTTGCAAAACCCCTTCAAACTTCCTTTTCCTTCCCCTTCCATTGTGGAGGATGGTCCCAAGATACTTGCCCAACGAATCAGCTTTCTTGAACCCACTAACACTACAGATGGCCTCCTTTAACTCCTCTCTAGTATTTTTAGAGAAAAATATCACTGTCTTCTCTATGCTCACCTCCTGCCCAGACATGTTACTAAACTCCTGGAGACAACCGAGCATGACATCCAGCTGATCGAGACTAGCTTCTCCAAAGAGCACCAGATCGTCTGCAAACATGAGGTGAGAGATACCCGGGCCTTTTTTCCCCACTTTCAACGGCTTCCAGTTCTTCTTGCGGATCTACTCAGCTATTAAGTGTGTTAGCTTGTCCATACACAGTACGAATAAACAGGGGGAGATAGGATCTCCTTGCCTGATACCGCGAGTCGGGGAGAAGCTAGACGTTTTGTTGCCATTCCACAGTATCTGGAAGCTGGGAGAAGAAATGCAAGCTTGGATTAGAGTTATTAGAATGGTAGGGATACCAATCTCCAAAAGCACCTTTTCAATAAAAGACCAGCTTAATCTATCATACGCCTTAACCAAGTCAATTTTGATAGACATGAACGCCCTATTTCCTCTCTTCCTATTCATCGAGTGTCTGCGCTATGATAATATTATCCTGAATGTTTCTACCCGGAACAAAGCTTGACTGAAAGGGAGACACCAGTTTCTTGATAATAGGTTTTAATCTGTTCACTAAAACTTTCGTGACAGCTTTGTAGAGAACATTGCAAAGCGAGATCGGTCTGAATTGACCAAACTGCTTAGGAGCTTCAATCTTAGGGATCAGCACTAGGATTGTGTCGTTGATGGCCTTTATTCCATCCGGGTGATTAAGCAGAATCTTCATGTCTTCAAAAATTCTAGACCCCAAAGTTTCCCAATTCTTCTGGTAAAAGATTGCAGGGAACCCATCCGGTCCTGGGGCCTTGTTTCCCCTCATCTGAAAAAAAGCCACCTTGACCTCCTCTTTTGATAAAGTTCTGTTAAGCATTCTCAGATCCGAGTCCTCAAGAAGGGGCCAGCTGACAGGAGTGTTTCTCCACTGCCTCTGCTCCCTTTCCTCTGAGAACAACTTCGTATAAAACCTTAAAGCCATGCCTTTAAGCCCTTCTTCCTCGTTGATCTAAATGCCAGCCTCATTCCTCAAAGTCTCAATCCTGTTCCTCTTTCTTTTAGATATGGCTAGCGTGTGATAATACTTCGTGTTCCGGTCTCCCCCTTTTATCCAGTCAGTTCTAGCCTTCTGGAACCAGAGAAGCTCCTCCAGAGAGAGGATCTCCTCCAGCTCTTTTCTAAGAACAGACTCCAGATCTTCTAAGAAATCACACTGTCGTGTTTCTAGACTGATCTGGATACCGTTGAGCCTGCGTAAAATGGTGTTTTTCCGCTGGTTGATGATCCCAAACGTGTTGGAGTTCCAATTTCTCAGCACTGGAACTAGCTGTTGGAGGTTAATGTGAGACATCAAGTCGTGACTCCAGTTCTCTGAAAGAAGCTGCTTGAAGGATGGATGGTCCAGCCAAGGGGGAAACAAACGGAACGGACGCTCTTCCCATCTAGTACGATTCGAGAAAAGCTTGATCAACAGAGGATTATGGTCCGAGTAGACTCTCGGAAGAGTCTTCACTGTAGCCTTATCGAATCTCGCGAGCCAATCACCGTTAGCCATAGCTCTGTCCAACCTTTTGAAAACTCTATCCAAGTGGGCGAATTTAGGCCCCTTCCAGGTGAAATAAGGACCATCCGCCCCCAAATCAAGAAGCTTGCAGTCATCCACTGCCTTCGCGAAGGAGAGACACCTGGCCTGATCAACTGGAGCTCCTCCTTTCTTTTCATGAGCGCCAATGATATCATTGAAGTCGCCAGCAATGAGCCACGGATCGCGGGTTGAGTTGCTGAAATTGCGAAGATCCTCCCACAGAATGGCTCTCTGGTCTAGCTGGGGGCTAGCATACACCGCAGAGAGAATGAATGTCTCTTTGTTATTCCACTCAATTTTCATGTGGATCACCTGATGACTCTGCTCCAACCGATGGATAGTGAAGTTGGGCTGGTTCCATAAGGCCCATATGCCACCCGCATAGCCTCTAGCCTCTTCTACTAAGAAATTCTTGAACCCCAATTTCTTAATAACATTTTGGGCTTTAGGCCCACTAATCCTGGTCTCCAGCAAAATGACAATATCCACTCTATGCTTTCTTACGTACGCAGATAAGATGCTCTTGAGCCTGCTTTTACCTGCTCCCCTACAGTTCCAGATGATAATATTCATTTAAAACTATCATTTTCTTGGCCTCCCATCAAAGAGCTGCCCGTATTCCTATGTAGATCCCCCATCATATTGCTTATGGTCTCACTTGTCCTACCATTCTTCTTACCATCCTTGTCCGCTATCCCATTCTGGGGCCCTTCACCCGTGTCTTCAAACTGGGGTACGTCAGTATCACCTCTTTTCAGAATTCTGGTGGGGCTCTTCTTCTGATTTGAAGATCTTTTCCTATTAGCTAGAGGAATAGCCAACATCTCTCCCAACGACTTTTCGTTTTGCTCTTTTGTCATATATCTCATTACCTGAAGCATTTCGAGCTCTTTCTTTGCTTTTTCCTCTTTCATGTCTTGCTGGTTGTCTTCTGAACCCACATTGGGTCCTATGTTTTCTTTGTTAACCTTTACTGGCATGATTCCTTTTTCATGAAGGATCTTGCTCTTCGAGCTGGTAGGGTCAGTATGATTTTCCTTGGGGGGCTCACCTACTCTCTCTTTTCCTGACATACTTTTACTCCCAAGGGTAGTAGCTGCCACTTTTCTGATAGATTTGGCCTTAGTAGGGGTTGGCTTTGTACCTTCCCCCACCTTTTCCCCAGTATTAGCGTATTTTAATCTTCCTTCTGTCGCATCCACTTTAGGGTCCTTGATCCTATCTCTTGCTTCCGCCTTGGTGTTCGTGCTCTCTGCAACCTTTTGCTTAGCTTTGGAACTTGCGATTTCCGCCTCCATCGTCCCCCTGAAATTTTGTCCAACCGGCGAGATGCTGCCCTTTCTGGTCGGAGTTGAAGCAGCCACCTTCCCTTTTTTGCCCTTCCCCTTTCTTTTAACCACCATCCACTCCCCAAATGCTTCCTCTGGTTCCTTAATCAACTTCGTGTTCTCTTCTATCTCTCCGGAAGTATGGTCTTCCTTTCCCTTGCTGGTTTGGGCTTCATTCAGTTCCTTTCCTCCGTTACAGACTTCCATCCGGTGACCATATCTACCGCATCCGAAACAAATAAGATGCAATCCTTCGTACGCAACTGGAAGAAGTCTTCCTAATACCTCAAACTTAGATATGAAGCTCTTCCTCAAATCTATCTCCACACATATCCTTGCGTATTTTGCCTTTTCTGTGTATTCTCCTACACCACCATCAGATTTCCTTAAAGAATTCCTGTCGACTTTTAGCGTTCTTCCAAACATGTTTCCTATCCTCCACAGATGTTGTGATGTGTAAAATTCCAACGGAAGTCGTGGGATTCTGATCCACACGGCTAGCCTCTTGAATTGATCGTCGAAGGGGTCGAACATGGGTCTCTAGCGTTGGACTGTCACATAGTGATCCACTACAATCCAAGGTCCTTCATGCAGGACATGGGTATAATCCTTGGCATCGTGGAAATTGATTAGAATGTAGCCATTATCCAGGTCTATCACCTCATATTTACCAGTAAGACACCACATCCTCAGGAGTCTTGCCATCAGGAACCTGTTGTTGATTCTCTTTCCCAGAAGTTTGATTATCAGAGAGTTCCTCCATTTCTTGCAATCTTCCTTGTGTTGTTTCAAGGAGAAGTTGTATACTGGACACAGAGGGTCTATCTGATGCCCATTTGTCTCTTCCTCCATTACGTCGTCTTCCTCTTCCTCCCTTCTCTGGATCTCCATCCAGTCCTCCTCGTCACTCTCCAGTTCGTTATTCTCTCCATTAAGTTGAAGCACCACGTCTTTGTAAGTAACCACTTTTTTCTCTCCTTGATATTCTTTCATGCATCTCGCCCCTTTAGAACCTGACTCTTCCTCCGGACTCCTGTCCAAGTGACGATTCTCTCTCATTACCTCATCCATCGTCGAGTCTTCCACAAAGTTTTCCTTTGCTTTTTTCACGCTTCTCTCCAGCAGGTCCTCTTCTTCGCGTTCCGGTTCCTTCCTTGTTCCATCCTCCTTTTCCATCTTCTGGCAGAATTTCTTGAACGGGAACATTCCAGTCCCTTCACCACCGCAACCGGTGGAGGTTGACGGGGACAGAGAGTAGTGGACTAATCAAGAGCTTTTTTTTCTCTACTTTCCAATTACAGCTCCACAACCTCTATCTTTTGTTTTTTTGTTTTTTCAATTTTCCCTCCTCAGGTAGCTGCATCAATTGGGTTATAATCTGGACTTTTAAAACCTGCAAAAGCCGAAAATATATGTTAGCCCATCTGTCTTTTCTTCAGGATCAGATTCATGAATTGGGCTGGTTTTTTAACAAAGAGACCCCAAAATAAGATTTTAAGTTTCTTTTCGGAGATTTATCATGCGCGAAAGAGATTTTAGGTACAATATTCTATAATTATTATTATTTAATATTTTTGCAATTTTATTTTTTTAAAACAAAATAATGAAGGTCCTTAGCAATAGTTCTTCACTCATCTTATGAGCAATATTCAACGTCACTAATAGCATTTACTCGAGTGATTTTTTTTAAAAAGAAGAAGAATTCAATCAAGCTAATAATATTACGTGAAAACGTAGCTAACAAGTTTGTGTGATAAGGGATAAATGTTATATTTAAAAATAGAATATAATATTCAGAAAAGGGAGTTTAAAAATCACAACACCAATTGACGGGAAAAAAAAAAAAATCAAACACCATCGAATTAATTCACTCAAACCTAAGGTTACCAGCTTTAGTTTCCTCCTCTGGTTTCTTCAAAAGGTAGGACAGGCCTTGGCTCAAAGCAGCTTTGGTAGTCAAGGAAGCTCGCAACAAATTTAGTGCCTGACCATTCAGAGATAACAAAAGTCATTACTTGTGCCAAATATTTTAGAGGATAAAATGGGAGATGTATGTCTTAGGGTGGTTCTTCAAAGCCAAGCCAGTCTTTAAACCAATAATAATTCTCAGTAAATTCATTAATAATCATTAAATTTTAAAGTATCAATATTCAAAATAAAATATAAAATTAGTAAAAAAATGTATTATTACCTCTGTCTCCCCAATGCTCACCACATGTTTCTGCAGATCATCCAATGGCACATTCAGCTTTTGTAGAAAGGAAATGCCAGAAGTATTTCCACATGGTGTCACTTGCAGATCATCCCCTACAATAAATAGTGATTGCCTCCTCACAAATCCTCTCTCCCCAGTTCTATAGGTCATACAGGATGTTGGATCTTTTGTACAAGTAAAGAGAGAGAGTGAAGGACTTGTGAACCCCAATGAATTGAGATCATTCAAACTTTGGTAAGAAAAATTCATACCAAATAGCTCTAGGATAGATGCATAAGGTGTTGTGAGAACCCTAAATAAAAAATCAACAAAGTCATGCATGAGCTTCAGCATACAGGATCTCGTTCTTTGATTTTCTCACCATTACATTGAGGTTCATAACACTGTTAGAATGGCTGTCCTCAAATTCAGATTTGACTTTTTGCTTTATTTTTGGCGAGCGAACGTATGTTTGCTTAGATTCTCCATTCATCAAAAATAAATCGTTGAGAGGGGATTCCGATACTAATGCTTGATTTACTATGCCCAACATCTAAAACAAAAAAAAAAGCCAAAGGTATAAGCACAATTCATCAAACTCACAATACCAACGTAAAAGAAGGGAAAAGTATCTCTAGTTATATGCAGTGAACTCAATTGTTGTACGTTATAACGATTAAAAAATTATAATGATAAAAAGTAATATAACCTCGCAATATATATATTAAAATTACAAAAACACTTAATTTACATCCCAACACGAGTCTCACCGAGAGATTCTCGAGAGATCAGTAAAAGAAATATAAATTTAAAGACATATATATATCACCTCCTTCAAGTCAACATTTATGAACATTTCTGTCAGCTCATTGAAGTTTTTGTAGCCAAGTTGGACAAGTTGCTCCACACAGTTGTTGGGAGAACTTTGAAGCACCTTTAAATCATTAAAAATTAAGTACTTGCTTTTCCCGTTAATAAAATCAGTATCCCTACTGGTTTCCTCACAGTGCCTGTCCATTAATATTTTCCCACACATGCAACTTGTTCCTGCAAGAGTACCCTGCGACCAAACACAACAGCACTTACACCTGAAGGACTCTCTTTGAAGCTCTTGATCACTCACATTCAATCTCAGTACTTTCTTCTGGCAAAGGTTTTCGCTAGGGTTGCGCGGACAAATGAACATATTTTGATAAATAGTAGGAAACAAGAAAACATCAGCATCAAGATTTATCACGCTCTGGTACAGATTGTTGATGCAACCGATCTCTCCAATTGAACCTATCTTATTTGGTTGAGTACCATCGAGATTTTCATCAGCGGCAATAGTACTCTTCATGCTCTTACGCTTTTTTGGAGAATTCTTCATGCTCTTACTTTGCAGACACATGATAGTTCCCAATGGAAATTTGAGAAAATCAAACAAAAGGCCTATCAAGTTTCCCTCTGCTTCTGCCATAACTACATGATTTCTTTCTTTGTCCACGAAAAGTTTCAAACAAAACTTTTTTTCTAGCTCAAAAGCCATAAGTCTGGAGAACCCAACACAACCCTACTACTGGCTTATTGTTTGAGAGAGAGAGGCGGATCAATACGTTAGGGTTTGCCACTGCCGGCACTGGACACTATTTAAGTATAAGAATATCCATTTAATTACAAAATATTGATTCATGACTTCAATTTGTATTTTGAAACGGTATTTCAAATTTTGAATTCTGAAAACCATTAGCATTCATTCTTCTATTTATGATTCTTTTTATTACCATTTAAAGTTGTAATCGTGTTAATGAGGTAATTTTGTTTTTTCCGAACACATTCTTCGTCTTCTCTTGAATTACTTCCTAATTTTCTGTCTAATTTCTACTTGTTTTTCTCCTGTATGAATCATTTGATTTGATACCTAAATTATTTTCTCATGTTCGATCATCTCCAATACCACCTTTGGGAGGAGTTTAAAACATTAATCCTAAACCCGCACCGAATTGGATTAGTCGCAAAACGATGAATTGATTGGAATATTTTCAAAAAAAAAAACATATATGAACACTAAATATTTTTTTAATAGATAAAATTTTAAGCAATGATGAAAAAGGGGATGTAACGATTTTTCTGCTACCTTAATCTTTTTTTTTTTTTCTTCCTTTATATTTAATATTTTTGCAATCCTAGTTCTTTCTCCGAGTTAATTTTTTTTTTTTTTAATTTTCTTTGATTTTTACATATATAGAGCTTGCTTACCAGCGTTGTTTTGCAGCTTCTACATTTTAACCTATTGAGATGATAAAGAGAAGAGGCTCTCACGATCAAGATAGTCAAAATCGGGATTTTACCTAAAATCGAAAAGGAAATAAAAAATCATAAATAGTAAAATCGTAATAAAAATTGTAGATTTTACCTGCACTCCTGTGCGATTCTCCTTCACTTAATGAAGATTGAATTTCAGGAATCGTTGATGTCTATTAAGATTTGGAACTAATAAGATTCATGCTTAAAAAACAAAAAAAGACAAAGCAATGGCTAAAGTTTAAGCTTTTAAGCTTTTAATTGTAGGGGTTGATTGAGTTGGGCCTATCTTTACTTTTTTTCTTTCAATCTTTTTTTTTTTTGAGTAAATACTTTTTTTGGTCCCTAACAAAAATACGGTCCCCACTTTAATCCCATACAAAAATTAATTAGTCGGTTGGTTCCTATAAAATTCAAAGTGGACCCATTTTAGTCCTTTTGAGGGACTAATCTGGGTCTTTTTTGAATTTATGAGGGACCACGATTTCAACTAAATGGATCCACTTTGAATTTGTTAGGAACCTCGAGATTAATTTTTTTTTGTAAGTGACTAAAGTGGGATCATATTTTTTGTTAGGGATCAAAAAAGATATTTACTTTTTTTTTTGTATAAAGGATATTTACTTTTTTTTTTTTACTTGACACTTGCAACCAAGCAAGTCCACCGTTGGGTATGCATAACATGAGTGCCATGTAAGGCATAATCAAATATGTAAGTTTACTCTTCTTTCTATCATAAGTTGATGATTAAATTAATATTATTATCCACACTAAGCAATGATAATATATATTCAAACTTGTAATTCAAAAATATATATGAGGCAGGATCATCTTACACCGGTGTAAGAATAAGAAGTCTTACACCAAATCTTAACCATTGATTTTCTTCATCTAACGGTTAATATTTATTAGGTCTCACTCATTAATTAATTTTTAATTCCCAATAAATCTCAACCGTTAGATGCACGGAAATCAACGGGTAAGATTGAGTGTAAGAGTTATTAATCTTACACTGGTGTAAGTTGATCCTGTCTCATATATATATATATATATATATATATATATATATATATTCAAACTTAATGTATTTCATATAAATCATGAAATAGTTTATTTTTATTAAAATTTAAAAAAACTACATAATATTGACCACTCGAAATCTGATTTAGATAAAGTTTATTCTGCTTTCATGGGCAGAGTTATTCGTATTATTATTTCATATAATAGTGATTAAAGGACAAGAAAATGCAATGATGAATGGGAAAAATTCATATAATAATACATCAGTGGGCGAAAGTGATGTTGCATCTATATTCACTGACGCTGAAACCAATATATGAAGAAAAGGATAAAGTGTATAAATAACAAGATGCATGCATGTATTTATAAGAAGAAGGACATCACAAATTATCTAAAACTATATGGATTAACTTGTCAATACAAAAGCTGGAAATTTTTGTAACAACTTTCTCATGTCTTGGTTAAAAAATGGATGCATGTTATCAAAAATAAAAAAAAATAAAAAATGGATGCAACTCAATACATAAATATACATACTTCTAAAAAAAAATGGATGCATGTTATCAAAAAAAAATAATAATAATAATAATAAAAAAGGGTAAATCTAAACACCGGATAAATTTTTTAAATAATAATAATACTTTAGTCTAATGTATATTAGGATTTAATTTTGTCTTTAGCTTAAATAAAATATTTTTAACTCTATATATATATATATATATATATATATATATATATATATATAAATACACAAATTTGGCCATGTTATAAGTAAAGGTTTAAATAAATAAATTTAAAATATTTAATTAATATAAAATTCAACTTAAAATAATTAAATTTGAATAATTTCAAAATTAAAATGAGTTGAACTCGAAAAAAGAAATTTAAATTTGTATTGAACCAAGTTTAAGTTAATATATATATTTAAATTAATTTATTCTAGGTTAAAAAAAGTAATCAAAATCCAAAATGGCTCAGCTGGAAGTAGTTGATACCTTAATGTAATAGTAATACTGTACTTGGGAACTAGCTAAGCCGATGAAATTCAAGTGGTTATTATTGTGATGGTTCTATGAAATTGACTGAGCTAAGAAATGATTTGAACTCATGAAATTGAATATGTTGAAAAACAAGTGAAGTGCAGCAAATCAAATCACTGTTAAAATAATCAATCTAAACGCTTACACATGCAGAAAGAATTAACATTGCATTTTGCGTGAAAGGAAAGCTCCTTAACATCAACACGTCTCTTTGTCTCCAAAGCACTTTTTGTGGGTATGTATCAAGGTCTTTACTTGGACTTCACTATAGTGTGGGTTTTGCTTTTTGATTTGCGTACTTTAATGTTTCATTTGTAGTTATTTTTGAAACTGCATCTGTTTATAAACTGGCTAGGTTCAAATTTGTTAATGCTATTCTCTGGAGTCAGAGACAGTGCTAATGACTGCAAATTGCTTGATAAAATGACTGAGAGAAACTTGATTTCATAGACAACAACTTGCTAAGGAATATATCAATTATACGAGTTGGACTGCATGAATGTATTTAGATGCATTGCTATACTGAACCTTTTAATCTCACTCGTTCTGTAATTTTGTTGTTTAAAACGAGTACAGATGATAACATAACAAGTTAGAGAGGAGAATGCTATGCACTAAAGTTGACTTTTACAGCAAAACAAACGGAGCCCTGTAAATTTTATTTTTCTGCTCTACTTTTCGGTTTTGGATTATAGTTGAAGTTGAATTTGATATTATCCATGTGTTTAGTTGAGAGATTAGAATGGGTAAATAAATTTAGTTGACTGGGTTCCAATTGAAGGATGTTACTTTCAATTATTTTTTTTTGTGATTTGAGAATGAAGCATATTATGTGTTTGATTAAATGTCTAATGGTGCATGATCCCTGTTTCTTGTTTAATGCTTGGTTTTTATTCTTTATTGTGATGGTTCAGTCTTAATCACTGTGGGAATTCATTATTTATTTTTTAATGGTGATGAATTATTGGTGGAAGTACTTTGAAGTCAAGAAATATGAGTTAGGATTATTCTTCAAATTTTGTCCTCGGATGTGAATTTTTGCTATGCTTAACTGGGAGTTAAACCTTTAGGAGAGTATTCATGCATTCTCATAATCCATGTGTCGTACTTGGCTGTTTGATTTGGGCCAAATTTCTTAGGGATATTTTGATTGCCCCTGGTTTTTAAGGGGGGGTTTTTTCCTGGTCGTGAGGCATGAAGACTAAAATCTTTTTGTTTTTCTGCATTTTATTGAAAGTGATATAAAAGTGTGGACTGTTGGAAGGTTGAATTAAGTTGCTTTATTTTCTAAATGAAAACAAGCTTCCATTTTATCTCAATTTGTTCAAGTAATCTGTTTCACATTCATGTTTAGTTAGGCTTAGGTCGGAGGGCTTCCATTATATCTTAATTTTACTTCTTGTGTACATGGCTGGCTCTATTTAATTGATGAACAACTTCTTGAATTCAATTCAGAACTTAAGTTTCCAATGATCCCTAACCATTGTATTCCGTGTCTCTGAACAGTGTTGCCTTGGCTCAGCCTTGCTTGGATGACACAATTGAGCTGCAGGTGTTACAAGATTTATCTGTAAATGCTTGGTGCGTCACAGTCATGTAAAATTGCAAATATACACCAAACTCTACTCAGCCTCCTTGTTAAATGCAAATCAATGCTTGAACTGAAGCAACTTCATGCTATTGTAATCTCTTTCGGCTTATCACAAGATGACCCATTTATATCCAAAATTCTTTGTTTTTCTGCTCTGTCCAATTCAGGCGACATTGATTATTCCTACAGGGTTTTCTCCCAGCTTTCCAGTCCAGCAATTTTTAGCTGGAACACAATCATAAGAGGCTACTCAAATAGCAAAAATCCAATTCATTCCCTATCAATTTTTTTGAAGATGCTGCGACTTGGGATTGCACCAGATTACTTAACATACCCATTTCTTGTGAAGGCATCAGCTCGTCTTTCAAACCAGGAAACTGGTGTATCTGTGCATGCCCACATTATAAAAACTGGGCATGAGTCTGATAGATTTATCCAGAATTCTTTGATTCACATGTATGCTTCTTGTGGGAATATTGTGTGGGCTCATAAGGTATTTGATAATATGCAGGGAAAAAATTTGGTTTCATGGAATTCCATGTTGGATGGCTATGCTAAGTGTGGAGAAATGGTTTTGGCTCAGAAAGTTTTTGAGTCCATGTCAGAGAGGGACGTTCGGTCATGGAGCTCTTATATTGATGGTTATGTTAAGGCTGGGGAATACAGTGAAGCTATGGCTATCTTTGAAAAGATGCGGGCTATTGGGCCCAAGGCCAATGAAGTGACTATGGTGAGTGTCTTGTGCGCTTGTTCACACCTGGGTGCTCTAGAGAAGGGGAGAATGATGCACAAGTACATAGTTGACAGTGGATTACCACCGACATTGATTTTGCAGACTTCTCTTGTGGACATGTATGCCAAATGTGGGGCAATAGAGGAGGCTTTGCTTGTATTCCTTGGTGTCTCACAGAGTCAAACTGATGTGTTGATTTGGAATGCAATGATTGGAGGTCTTGCAACACATGGGTTAGTAGATGAATCTCTTAAATTGTTTAAGGAAATGCAAATAGTTGGTATCTGTCCTGATGAGGTCACATATTTGTGCTTGTTAGCTGCCTGTGCCCATGGAGGGTTAGTCAAAGAAGCGTGGTACTTCTTTGAGAGTCTTGGTAAATGTGGCATGACACCTACAAGCGAACACTATGCTTGCATGGTAGATGTGCTGGCACGTGCAGGTCAATTAACAACTGCATACCAATTTATTTGTCAAATGCCCATAGAACCAACGGCTTCCATGTTAGGTGCTCTTCTTAGTGGGTGTATTAACCATAGAAATTTAGGTCTCGCAGAAATAGTTGGCAGGAAGCTTATTGAGCTAGAACCAAATCATGATGGAAGATATGTTGGCTTATCAAATGTTTATGCAGTTGTCAAACGCTGGGATGATGCAAGAAGCATGAGAGAAACCATGGAGAGAAGAGGGGTGAAAAAATCGCCTGGGTTTAGTTCTGTTGAAATATCTGGAGTCCTTCATAGATTCATTGCTCACGATAAATCGCATCCTGATTCAGAAGAAACTTATTCTATGCTAAATTTTGTTGTCTATCAAATGAAACTTGGCTGTCGCCAAGACAACAAGGAAAGTTCGTTGAATGATAGCTTAACAGAAGATGATTTGCTTCTCTATTGAGTAGATGGTATCGAAGTTTGTAGCAATTAAATTTTTTGGAAGAATTATTGCACAGAACCTAGAGTTCAATGTTATTTATCAGAAGTCCTTTTGTTTTTGGGTTTAGCAAAATGTCCTCATATTTTATCGCAGCTTGGAAATCCTTGCAATATGGAGTAGGTTGGGTCCCCAACTTCGCATGTCGTTGCAAAATTCTTCCTCTTATGCCATCAATTACAACTATTTCTTACCAATAAAACATAGTTGTAATATTAAAGTTGTTTTTTCTCTTTCCGCCACGTAAGACGACAGCCTTCTGAGGAGAGAAACAAAAATCAGTTTTTAAAATTATAACTTTATCTTACAGATAAGACATAATTGTAATTCGTTGGAAGAAACTTCTCCTCCAACACAAGAAATATATATCCCATGTAGATTACAACTTGCTGAAAGTAATTTTGAAATGTAATACCATTAAACGAGTGGGGAAAAAATTGTGTGCTCTAATGAGTAAGGACAAGAGAAAAGCCTTGGAAAACCTGATGCTCCTGGAATCATTAGCAATGAGTTAACATAGTGGCATTTAACCATTTTGGTCTAATGATGTTCCAATTATTTTATATCTATATAGCATAAAAATGAAAATGTTTGGGAAGAACTTAGATGTCTTGCTTCTTTTTATATAATGTTTTTGTGTCTTTCACCACTATTGCAGATATATCCTTATCTAAAATTAAAATGATCAGTAACCAATAATCAACTTATTGGAATCGGAAAAAGCGAATTGCAGCAAATTATATTTAGTCTTCTACAATTCTTGTCCCCTGAAATGAACTTGAAGTTCCATGGTTCAGGTGTTTTGCATGCTAACGTTTCGTTTGTAAATGGAACAGCAGAAATTTAACACTAGTGGAGCTGCCGAGTCAAGGTAAAAACATCAACGTTTTTTATTAAAGAAGTTTGATTATTTGATTGTGTTGAAGTGTATAATTCAAAGTAAATTTCTTTTCTTCTCCATTTAACTATAGTTCTGTGAAACAGATTTTTTTTTCCTACTCCATAAGAGGGTGCGAGCAAATAACTACTTTAGTAGTCTAGATTATTGATGAGTTGATGCTGTTTCATCTCTCCATATGAAGTTGGAACTCTAGTGCTTCGCATGTACTTTAGGTTACAGTCTATTATTGACTTGAATAATTAATTTTCTGTGCTGTATAGAAGTCTCAAACTTATCATCTTTTGGTTCCCAAAATAGCTAATTGCTTCATTTTTGTTATTCAGAGAACTCAAGTCCCCCGAATATTAGGGGGCACATTTGGACCAAAATCATTTATATTGTCATTGGAGGCATTGCTATTGATATTCTACATCTTCATTTGCTTGAGTATCCTTCAGGACATATTGCTCTCCCTCTTTACTTTTTCCCCATAGAAGAATGTACATGCCAGCAATAACCAAGGCAGATCCTGCAACACTGCTTATTGCAGATAGGGATACATTAGGTGAAATGGAATGTAGAAAGGGAAATCATAGAAGAGTGATAAAGGGAATCAACCTTCCCATGTAAATTTCCTCCTTTAGTATATAGAAATCAAGCACGGCCACAAATATCTGCACAAGGGGAATAAATGCTGCAGTAAAAACTGGACCCCTTTGTTTGACACACCATGACATTGCCACATAGCACAAGCCCGACCCCACCAATCCCTAGGTTCACATGACAAATTTGAATGATAAGTATGTACAGGTAATCATAATTGTTGAATATTCTACTTGAAATGGAAATCGATATTTAGATTTGAACTTGGAATTTGCAAAGAAACTAACAGACTACTTCAAAAACATTCTAAATGGCGTATGTCATTGGAAAGAATATACTCACAGCATATATAACACTCATTATTTCTAACTTCCCTTTGAGAATCCACGAGGTATGATTTCTCTTGATGATCAAAGTTGATATTGCTGATTGAATGCCAGAAAAAAGTGACAAAATAGCTGTGCTAGAGTACTGACATGGATATTTTTTGCTAATTTTTGCTTGTATAATAAACCATGAAGACCACAAGAAGCAGCCGGCAGTCAGAAGTATTGAACCTATAATCCATTTATCTAACTTGGCAGCTGGAGGTGTTATTGTAGCTTTGTTTGTTTTGTGCTGCGATAGTGGGTTGATTAAGGGCATTCCTTTATAAAGGACCAATAACAAAGCTCCACCAATGCACACACAGGTTCCCAAGACTTTGGCTTTACCACTGTTGCTTTTCATGTTCACCTTCTCTATCCTAGAAAATTTTCAGGACAAAAGGATCAAAATTATTGTAGTTATATTCCACAATCAAGTAATATCCTTTTGTTTAACTTACCCAAATAGCAGTGCCACAATGAATGTAAATACAGGCACCATGTTGAGGAATGCACATGAGAACGTGACAGAAGTATATTCAAGTCCAAGAAGAAATAGGTATTGGGGCAGTGTTACTCTGAAAGGCATTGATAAAATATTAAAATAAAAAAATTTAGTGTCTAATTGTAGATATTAAAATTAAAACAATATCAGTACAGACCTTGATGCGTGTATCTTTGGTTACAAGAATACTTACCCGACAAGAGCAGCGAGGAAAAGAAGACATATTATGTGAGCCTCAAGTTTGTGTTTCCTGTAAAAAGTAGAAAACCTTTAAAATTTTGGGGGGCGAAGAGGAAGAAGAATAAGAAGAAAGAAGTGAAGAGAGAAAGTGGTTCTTACCTTTCATAGAAGCAGGCAATAGGTGCCATGAAGATAAATGAAATTGCCTGTCGATATGTTACAATGATCATGTTGTCCATTCCTTCATTAAGAACCTTCTTCAGAAGTAAATTGACAAAAGCCAGAGCTAAGTTAACTAAAATCATGATAAAAACTGGCTTGTACAATTCATGGCAATGCATCAACATCATGACTTTTTTTTTTTTTTATGTACTTTGTTGTTTGTTGAGCTTTGGAAGAATGGTGTATTGTCTGCTGTCGTCTTCAATATATATATAGAGGAATTAATAACCTCCCAGAAGAGAGGAACAAACATTATGATATATTCCTCATCACATCAACATTCCGAACTTCACTATTTACTTGCTTTTTATTTTTCACGTGGAAATTTACTTGGAATCTTATTGGGAACATATCAGACTCATCACATCAATATTTTTGAGGTCACATTGCCATATTTTACTGGTTGATTCCTTTAATTTTTTTTCTCTAGCTTGAATTTTCTGCAGGTTAGATCAGTGAAATGAAATGCTGTATAAGATCACGTTTTATTTGTCTACATCAATTGACATAAGAATTAGCTTCTCTTATGAAAAAATATAATCCAAAATATGGTGCCCGTTTTAGAACCGTAAGCTTCTTACCCTTTCGAATGAGTACGTTGAATTAGAATTTCAAAGGTGGTCGTAACTTGTAAGCATCACTTGAAAGTAGAGGCAGATATGACATTGTCTCCATATCTTTTAGCTAACTGGGAATCTGTTTTTCGGCATTGCTGGGCACGTTAATGAATTGTTTATTATATTTATCACAAGCAAGAACAAGATGTCAAATCTTGGCAAAAGGGCAGAAGCTAGTAGAAAGTTGAAGGATGCTCTCTAACTGGAATGCATGCAAATTGCTCGTAAACGATATGGAAGGTCAACATTGTAAGAATAATAGCACTTATAAAAGAGATATTAAGTTTGGGAACATTGTAAAATGAATCATTTTAGAATAGCACTTATAAAAGAGGTTTTGACGAAATTATTGAATAAATTATTAAGGACAAGAAAAGCACATAATATTCGAAATTTTTTTGGCTAAAATAAACTATGAAATATAAAAAAGACCTTAAGAGCATATACAGTTTGTTTTTCTTTTTTTATTTTCCTGAGAGCTAGATGTAAAATAAAAAAGCAGAAGCAGGGAAAAAATAAAAACCATTAATGCCCTTATCCTATGAAGCACTAACACTTAAAAAACTCTGACGTGTCGTGTCAAACATTTTTCGACACTCACCGACACTTCAATACTCATTACAAAGACTCAGAAAATATTCAAAGGTTACGTTGCGTTATGTTGCATTTTGAGTTCCAACTATTAGATTCGTTAGATTACGATTACTATTTTATTGAGTTTAATATAAACATTCGGAATATCTTATGTTTCTTTGCAAAATTGATGGGTATTATAAGTTTAGCTTTATTTTTTTATTAAATTATTGAATATTAAATATAATATACGCTACATAAATTAAAAATATTATATAATATCAAAACGTATCCTAACATGTCGAAATTTAATATTTTATAGAATTAACTTGTTGGAGTATCGTGTCGTGTTATATCGTATGATCTGTATCAATGTCGTTGCAAAGTAACCCTTAGCATCTGCAATGAGTTCAACTCCAAACCTTGCAAGGAAGTGAGCACAACAATGGCCTTCTCTCAGAGAGTGCTAAAATCGGACTTCCCGATTCTTCATCAGCAGGTCATGGACGTCCCAAAGGATAAGCATATTAAAGTTTGGGAAAAACACTTATTTTTTTTAAGGATATAACTTTGTATTATTTTAATCTAAAATAACACAAAGTTATATTATTTTAAAAGGACAAATATTTTTCTCTTAAAAGTTTAGAAACACTTTAAAATAAATCATTTTAAAATAGCAGTTGTAAGGGAATCTTTAACGATGAATATTGAAAAATATATTGTTTTTTAATCTTTATTAGTACAGAGGGTTGCTATATTTATAAAAGAAAAACATAACAACATCATATTAATTGCGTTGAATGACATAACTGGGATCAACGGATAAGATTAAGAGTGTAACTTACACTGGTGTAAAATGATTCTGACCCTATATATATATATATATATATATATATATATATATATATATATATATATAGATCCTTTGACACCTCATCTGAGAGCCATTAGATAAAAAAAGATCAATGGTGTCACATGTTTACAAATCAAAGTCGTTGATATTTTTTGATCTAACGGCTCTTAGATGAGGTGTCAAATTTGAAATTTGACACCGGTGTCAAATGATCTTATCTTATATATATATATATATATATATATATATATATATATATATATATATATATATATATATATATTGAAGTAAGGATAAAAAATAGAAAAATAGATAGGGAACTAGAATAGAGGATCTCCTAGCAAGTTTGTGCACGTCTAGCGAACATTACACCTCTATTGTCGGTCTGGAGATGACACCATAGCTCTGGAGGGGTTCAAAGAAGTGAGCCTCATCAGGTGTGCACCAATAGATAATTTGTCAACCAATCTGCACACTAATTGTCATCCTGGAGAACATGCACAAACCGAACATTCCATTGACGACTAACAAATACTCGTATTCGAGTCACTAAGTGGGACTCACGAGTTCATTGTCTTCCTTAACAAATAATGCAATGATTGTTTGACAGTCAATTTCGACCAAAATATTTCTCCAATCTGCCTCCTAAGCTAGCTTCAGCCCATTTAGCACACCCCTAGTTTCACTTGTAAAGCAGCACAATGTCCAATTCTTGCAGTAAACCCCCTAGCCAAACACCCCTCTAGTCACATAGAAGCCTCCATAAGCTGCTAAAGTCGTTTGACCCTTTAAGGCCCCATCTACGTTTAATTTAATATACGGAGTCAAAGGAGGCTGCTAGCTAACATCCCTGGAGTATTGACGTTTCGGCTTTGACTTTGTGTCTGCAAAGGCAAGTTGTATCTCCTTAATGCACTCAAATATACCAACAACAAACAATATACAATGAACTCCAAACAAAACCTCCCCAACCCATGTCATCACAATTCCAATTGTTAATCACTCAACCATCTAAATTGGTATCAAAATACTGAGCTAGTCTATCATTTGTCAAGAAATCATACCATATGTCATTGATCACCAAACAATCTCAAAAGATATGTAGTAATGTCTCCATCTCCTGCTAACAAATCGGACATTGTGAGTCCTCCATGGAATACAAGCTAATCCAATCTTTTGCAGGCAAACTCTTGTGCAGTAATCTCCAGAAAAACATTTGAATATGTTGAGGCCTTTTCCATTTCCACACCATGTTCCAAACCTCCTTAGAGAAAATGCTATGCTGAAAGGATTGTTTTGCAAGATATAAATAGCAATTACTGACCTATACTACAGTCGTACCATCCAATAATCAAAAGCTTCTATCTGGTCCATGATGCATAGCAGGAGGGAGTAAACTTTGGATCTTTTCTACCACTTCTGAATCGAACAGTTGTTGCAGCATGTTGTATTTCTACTTTCTATCCTAACCAACCACTTGATTGAGGTGGCAGTCCCTCAATTCATCTGGTACACTGCTTCGAACATTATCCAAGAGGCAGATATAAGAGTTGACCCACTTGTCCTTCCAAAAAGAAATTGTCTCCCCATCTCCTATTTCCCAAACTATGTTATCTTGCATCTTTAGCATGATATTGCAGATTGCCTTCCAGAAAGAAGAGCAGCCAGTCTTAGGGAATGGCACTTGGCTAACCTGCACCTTATATTTACCACGCAGCACACAGGTCCAAAGAGAATTGACTTCATTTTGAAAACGCCAAGCACACTTCATTAGAAAAGCATCGTTCATTAAGGTTGTTTTCCTCAGACCAAGTCCACCCATCTCCTTTAGGCTAGTTAGGGTATCCAAACCTATCGCGTGGTATGTCCTATTCTGATTAGTACCCCCGCCCCCCCAAAAAAAAATCTCTTTGGATATGATCCAACTCATTACAAACCCTTTGGGGCAATCTCTCGTAATGCATATGGAAATAAGGTATGGAAAACAAGACCAACTTCATCAAAGTTACTCTCCCCGCTTGAGATAAACATCTTTGTCGCCAACCGCCAAGTTTACTATGAACCTTTTAAACAATATGCTAGTAATGTTGTTTCGTAACCCTGCCATGCTCCATCCAAGCACCTAAATATCGCCCTATATTCCAAACCCTTTTGAAACCACTTATAACTATCAATGAAGATGCCACACCCTCTAGGGCATTAGGTGAAAAATAAATACTCGTCTTCGCAATACTCAACCTCAAGCCTAAAATCTCCTCAAACATCGAGAGACATTTTAGTACAATATCCATTTGATCCTCCCTTGCCTCAGCAAATAACGATAAATCATCAACAAACATTAATGAGATATTTGGGAGAGAGGGCACCTTTCCCCACCTTGATAGGGTCCCATAGACCTCATATTGCTTTCCTTGGCCAAAGTGAACAAATTTTTACAAAAGCTCTTATAATAATATAAGAATTTTTTTTATACTAAAGAAAAAAGCTAAAATCCAAAAGCTCCTAAGAAGCTTTTTTTAAGTGGTTTCAGCTTTTTTTAAAATATATACTCTCTTTTTTAAATAAACCATTTTTAAATAACTTTTAAGCTAAAAATTTTATACGAGGGTTTAGTGTTTGTCCTTTTAAAAGATATGGAGTTATGTCATTTTAAGATAGAGAAAGACACAAGCAATGGAAATCATAAGAGAGAAAGTGGGTACTTTTTTTAAATAAAAAAAATTAAATAAAAAATACTATGTTGTGTCTTTCTCTCTCTTAAAATGACACAACTATATGTCCTTTAAAAGGAAAAATATTTTTCCCTTTATATAATCATTAAACAACTTATAACTTTATTTATACAGCTCTTATTTTTAGCTTTAACTTCAAAATAATTTTTAGCTTGAAACAATATGACTCTAAAGCATTGTTGAAAAAACCCGGTCGACCCGAAAATCGGCAAATCGGTCATATGACATGTCTGGTTTTCATGTTGGATCGGGCAAGTAACAGAATCGGTGCAACCCGACCGATTTTTGAGAAAACTAATGACCTGGTCAATTCAACTAGTGACCCGACCGATTCATAAAAAAAAAAATCCAAAAAAAAATAAAGGATACCATTTTTTTTAGAGTAAAATCCTTTTTGGGTCCCTGACAAAATATATGGTCCCCACTTTCATCCCTTACAAATAAAAAGTCAACTTTTGATCCCCTACAATTTCAGTTCTTTGAAAATGTGATCCCTCGTAAATTCAAAGAAGGCCCAATTTAATCACTAAAAGTGGACTAATATGAATTTTTTTTGTAAAGAACAAAAATGGAAACCGTGTTTTTTGTTAGGGAGATAAAAGGGGCTTTCCTCTTTCTTTTAAATTCACAAATGATTTGTTTTCTTTTGAAATATTTGAGTGATTTATTACTTATTGATTTACATAGATTATGTACCTACAGCACTAATATTATCTTTGTTTTGCACTATGCAAAAAATTTTGATTCAATTTATAATTAAAAATATCGTTTACTGATCATAAAGCACCAATATCACAAACATTATTATATTTGTTTGATCCTTTACTGAATAATAATATGTGATTTATTATTTTTTATATTAAAATATTTAAAATTGATATTCTTTCTTACAAGTATTTGAGTATGTTTATAACTTTTTTAATATACATTCTATATTTTGCATATACTTACCAAATCATGCAGTTAAACCAATAACTCAATACATCAACCAAATCAATGAACGGCGGATTTAATATCACTCTAAAGTATAGAAAAATCAATACAGTTATTGAACATCCAAATTCTGCAAATTCTGAAACTCAAGCGCAAAGCAACGCACAATAACAGACAAGCATGAAGTGTTTGATACATGAAAATTTAGAATCATCAAAGGACATATAATTGACTACTGCACCGATTTTGCCACTCTATTCATCATCCCTACGGTGGCGTCTCCTCTTTTCTGATTTGTTGACATTTCTACCCATCCTTGAATTATTATTATATCCACTCGAATCAGTGTCCGACGATGATGAGGCTCTCTTGCTTTTCCTCTTGTGCCGTATAGCAGAATCCTCAGATGTTTCAGAATCAGAATCTGATAGACGGCTTCTCCTTCTACTCTTCTCCTTCCTACTCTTTCTTCGCCTGCGCCTATACTCATCATCCTCATCTGAAGACTTGTCCCTCTTCCTCCTGTGCTCCCTCCTTCTCTTCCTCCTCCTTTCGCCTGAATCATCTGAATCACTCACTTCCCTCTTCCCCCTCCTCTGCTTTGACCTCCCTCTCTTTTTTCTCTTCTTGCCAGAATCTTTGTCAGACCCATCATCATCCGAATCCCCTTTCTTTCTAGAAGAACCTCCCTTCCCACTAATTTTCTTCCCAGACCTTTCAGCAATAATTCTCTCAATCTCTGAATCAATCTCAGAATCTGAACTCTCACTATCCTCCTCCTCCTCCTCCTCTTCTGAGCTCTCAACATTGCTTCTCCTATCCACCTTCTCAGCCCTTCCCTTCAACTTTTTATCCAATCCAACCAACCCCAGAGGCTGCATGGCATCAGGATCCTTCTCCTCATTTTCATCCTTGATTTTCACATAGTTCTTACACTGAAACTTGAGGTGCCCAACACGCCCACATTTCTTGCAGGCCCCACGGGACACATCTACATCAGCATTGGTTATCTTAGCAAGCTGTAGAAGCCCCTGGAAGCTGGCATATGCATTCTCAGCATCAGGTTCCGCATTTGGCAGATTTTGTGAAGTATCCTTCTTGTCTTCCTTATTGGGTGCATAAGGGTCATAGCCAATGGCACTCTGCCATATGCCATGGGTTTGAAGGGCTGCACTGCTGTGGACCCTATTGTTCGCAGGCATGCGAACCCTACCTGCTGTAGCCGGCATCTTGAGATTTCAAATGTCAATCCCTAACCTGGGAAGAAAAGGGGCAACTTAATTATCAGGAACCAAAACAAGGCAAAAAAAAACCAGCAAGCAAAGACATTACAAGTCCAACGGTTTTAACTTTTACAACATTACAAACAATGACAACAACCACCACGATGTCGAAGCATTATACTAGAAGGGGTCAGTCACATAAATCAAATTACGCCATTGGGCTCTATCAGTAATCAAATTTTCAACAAATCCATTCAGAGCAAGGACTATTTAAATGGTTAGAACATAATAATAATCAAGCAAAAATACGAGAATTTCATGGACAAAACTAAATCAATAATTCTGAACTTGTATTCACAATTTAAAGAAAAGAAAGGGAGGGGGGGAGAATCATAGTAGTAGAAGCTGGGAACCTGAAAGTAATATTTGGCAGTGCGCGTAAATGTTTCTTAGTCAACGTTTTAGGCAAGATATTTCCCTAGTACAAAAATTTTCAACAAATATAGGCTAGTATGGTAGCTCCCAGACAAGTAGCATATACCTTGTATAAATTACTGATAAAGGTTAATTACAATATAAATTAGTAATATTCTAATAAATACTTATGTTTCAGAGTATTAGCAATTGATACTGAATTTGCACCTAGCACTATTTTCGATGTCTAGAAAATGCATTTTATGAATGCTGACCAAAATTCATTATCCTCACCAGCGCTATTATCAAACTTGGTAACAGGGGAGAGAGCACATAACGTAATGAAAGGAGATGTTTAACTGGGTGGTAGAAATAATCAAAGGTGGGGACCAAGTTACACTTGAAAAACGTAGCAATTGCACATTTGATCAGCCTCTTCGAAAAATCTACTAGAGACAGTGCAGATTCTAGCTAGCTACTATCCCCCTCAGTTTGTAGTCTTGTGGAACTGAAAGTTTATAAATTTAAAAAACGCAGCCTTCCACATGCTCCCACACTACTTATCATCGTGTGGATAAACTTAGTAAAAGCTTCAAACCTTAGGAATCAACCCCCTCAACTTTGAATTATCTTCACTTTTCTTTAAAATTTGTTGTCAAAGCTAATTGTATTACGCAAAAGTTAAAAAAAAAGTACCTCGGATAATTACTTAACATGCACAACTGTCAGGATATTTTCAAGTTTCTTATTTCATTGTGTTTTCTGATTGCAGTTTGTGGGTATCCTCTAAGTGCTACGGAAATGAAGAATTAAATACCTCACAAATCATTTAAAAAAATAAAAAATAAAAAACTGGTTCCGATTCTCAAAGGAGATACAGAATGAATTAGCTAATTCGCATAGTTTTTCACAATACAAAATCCCATGAGGCTTCATATGCATTGGGAACATAGAATCATTCCATTACAATCTTCAAATAACAATAAAAGGAACGGTTCAGGCGGCTCAGGCGCGTGAAATCAATTTTTTCATGTCACTGCAGCACCGACATCTTTGAACGCGAGAACCATCCCAATCCAAAAACAAATATTTCCCTCACCAGCAACCCAAAACCATCATGCCTAAAATGCCCGAAACGCATAAACCAAATTCCATAGCCTGAATTTTTTATTTTCTATTTTTATTTTTATTTTGTGGAGTCCAAATCACGAAATATCATGTTTGAGAAAAATGAACCTAACACCAATTTATTATGAAAACAAACAATCGCAGATAGCATAGATGGGGTTTCGAATACAAAGGAAAAGAGAGAAAGCTGAGAAACGAAGAGAAGGAATCTGAGTTGGACTCACCAACGATTGAGCGATGCACCAGCGTCCGGTTTCGATTGAGGTCCTCCCAACTCAATTCGATGCAAAAGATTCAGTTTTCTCTTCTTCAGATTTCAATTAGGTTTTGAAAATTTCGGAGCCCTGTTTTAGATATAAAGAGAAAACAAATTAAACAATTGTGAAACCTTAGCAAAATCTGGAGATCTATTATTGGGTTTGATGTTTGTATAAATGACATAAGTCATACGTTATCTGATATCAAGAGAGATAAATAGAAGGAATGAAAATTACGAGAGATAGAAGGTAAGTGATTTTTTTTTAATTTAAAATTTAAATAAAAAAATATTTTTTTATGTCTATCTCTATCTTAAAATGTGATAATTTCGTCTCATTTAAAATCATAAATATTTTTACCTCTATTTTTTACGCTGAAATTATTATTATAAAAAATCATGCATTGGATCTGCGCAGGCTAATTTTTTCGGCCCAGGCCCAATTCTAATATTTTCGGTCAGGTCAGGCTGGTTTCTTACCGAGACGGCCCAATAAGATTTTCGTTCAAAGAAAAACTATTTTTTTGGTCTCTGTCCGTATATAAGAAAATTGTGTTGTCTAGGTTGGGCGCGTTTGAGGAATAATTTTAATAATAATTGAGGTCTTTTTAAAGGATAATTATCTTAGTTAAAATTAATATTTATTATTTAATATATAAATTAAACAAGGGAAAAGTTCACCAATACTCCTGTGATTTGCTTCAGAATCACCTATATTCCTGTGGTTTTTTTATCACATATGCCCCTGTACTTTGTAAAAAATAAAAAACCACAGAGACATATGTGATAAAAAACATACCCTTTTACAAACCACAAGGGCATATGTGATGAAAAAAAATCACAGGAGCATAAGTGATTCTGAAACAAACCAAGGGACATTGGTGAACTTTTTGCATTAAAAAATATATATTTTATTTTTTTTCCATCATAATTTTTATTTCTCTCACTATAAAAACACAGTAATTTTAATTAAAATAACACAATTTTATATCCTAAAAGAATAAACACTAATCTCATAGTAATTTATATAAAAATCAATTATAGTTAATCAAAAATAAATAAATATACACAACTAAAAAATTAAATAAGCCATTAGCTTATAATGTTCTGAAATATTGTTTATAAGTTGGTTCAATTTTAATGACAAAAAAAAAAAGAAATAAAGAAAAATATTGATTCAAATATTTATAATTTGGTTCAAACACTACAAGAAACTAGGCATGTAAAGGCGGTTCATTTTACAAACTCAGGCGGTTAAAACCGCCTCTGTTTGCTGAGTCCGACGGTTAGTAAACCGACTGAGATAACACAGTCGCGCAGTCATACGTCGACGGTTATAGCAAACCGCTGGACAAGCCGCCAGAAGAACTTTTCGTCGGTTGACGTGACGGCTGCAGACGCCTAAAATATCACTTAAATATGTTGGTCAATCCTTCTAAGGCGGTTTGGGAAACCGCCTATAATGAATTATCTCAGGCGGAGTGGCAGGCGGTTCTGAAAAAGTTGATTTAATAATTTCCAAGCGGTTTCTAAAACCGCCTGCAGTGTAAAAAGGTGACAATTGCAATAAACAGTTATTTTTGCGATTTTTTTTTTAAATTATTTTCTTCAGTAATTTTGGCAGGTTTTTGTTAGAAAAAAATATTTATTTAGAATTATTTACAATTTTGTTTATAAAAAAGTACTATTTTATTTGGTATGTAAAAATCATTTTCAATAAAAATAAATTTACGTCATTTTTATTACAATGTCCAATAAAAAATTAATTAAAATTAAAAAAAAGGAGTATGAAAAGGTAAATATACATACCTTTTAGCTAAAAGTGCATATTTAAATTTTACATCCATAACCATAGAGACTTAACTAGAAATGGTCAACAGTTATAGAAAATTAACAACCATCCATTGAAAAAAATTCCATGCACAATGTCATCTACTTAATATCCAGGAAACAACAATCTAGAGATATCATAGGAGTTTAAAATCGAGAAAATTACAACCATTCAAGGAAGAAATCCATGCACAATGTCATCTACACTACATCCATATGTAGGAAACAAAAAGTGTTCATATATGGATTTCCATCAAAATAGATATCCTAATATAAAATTTAAAATTCTGGTGCTGGTGGTAGAGGTGATGAATTTGGTTCTTCACAATGTGGGTCATGACTACCATTAGAGGATCTTCTAACTCCCGGAGATCCCAAGTCTGGAGTCTAATGCAATGGAAAAAAGAAGCATATATTAGCCATAGCCAAGTTTACAAGTTTCACATATTATGCAGATGCAACGATATAAAAAAATAATATTTCAATTACCAAACTAGATTCACTTTTACTTTAAGGCTGATTGATGAACTCAGTCACACAATTCAATGCAACTGATAAAATAATTTAGTTACTAACACTCATTCATAATTTAAGACAGCCACCACCATCATATCACTATGACAATAAGCTAATATATAAATGTTGGACAACAACAACCAGTCTTTAATTCTCCACATTATTTATGAATCCATATGCATTGATACAGTTAACAAATAATTTAAAACTGAGGCAGCACTCTAAAGAGAATCAAAATGATTTAACAATCACTCCACCAAATTAAATTGTACACGTATTTAACTATTGCAAAAACCACACCTCATCTCTCCCAGAGTCCTCAACCCCTATTTAACTAGACATTCTTCAATATTCAGCAATTTCAAAATGTCCTTACACTAGAGGGCAAAAAAGAAAAAGATTTCAAAAAACAAAAATACCACAATGTATCTTCATCCAAACAAAATACCCAGTAATTATTTAGCAAAACAAAATGCAACATTTACCTGATTAAATGAAAAATTAGATGGTATTTGAGCTCCTAAACTTTGCATAAATAATGCCATTTGCTCTTTCATCATGTCATATTCTACCATCTTGCCTTTTATACTTTCCAATTCTTCTTTGAGGGCGTTGTATTCAGCTGGCGTTGGAACAGTAGAAGAAGACGATCCCGAACTGTTAGACGATCTACGGTACTGCGATGGAACCACCCCAAATCCCATACCTCTAACACGGCTGGGTGTTCCTTCCCAAAAACGTGTACATATGCCTCTTCATCAGACAATCCTTCTTGCATTTGTGTTAATAATTGATCCTACATATAAACATGATATATAGTTTACATTTATAATATAAAGATAATATAAATGATGTTTAAAACAGCATACAAGAATTTCATACATTTTTCAGCATAGCTTCTTCATTAACAAAATTTCCATCCCTTTTTGTGTGAGCAATAGGATACATTTCACCCCTACTATATTTTTTGCCATCTCGTATTTCCTGCAGTAATGACAAAAATGTGAATGAGTTATATATTAAAAGAATATTAGAGTCATATAAAAAATTGGCAAAAGACCATACCAGCTCCCTCTTCAGCCTTGCTATGGTTTTTGATCCAAGTGTATGTGGGATTTTTTGTTTTTTTCTATTTGCAGTATTTATTGCGCTGTATCTCTGCATTGTCCAAATAATTTAAATATTTAGGTCAAATAAAAAATAATGCAACAATATATGTATGACTCCTCATATTACCTTCCCTTTCTCACTTAATCTATATTGCAAAAACCCAGCCCAATTCTCTCTTGTGATGCCTTGAGGATAGTTCTCAATGTTTTGCTCATACGTCTTGTCCTTCTTGTAAAATTCATGGCAAATCCTATACCTGTTATCCTTCCATTTCTTTCCCATATTTTGCATACAATAGTTGTAATGGTATTCACTCTCCAGTACAAATTTTGGCTGAATAAAAAAAAAATTATACAACGACATTATTTCTGGAAAAAAAATAATCATTGTATATCTTAGGAAATTTAATGATCATTTATACCTTAATAGTGCTCTTCCAAGTATTTTCCTTATACACCGGAGGTACATTAGGCCACCTATCAAAACATATGGGGAATATTTTGGGATCACATGCAATATGTCCCAAAAAACCATGGAGAAGTCCACACGAATCTCCAACAGGTTGTTTGTCTTCATTCCATTCCAACACAACTCTCTTGTGACGTGGAAGTACCAAAACATCCCTTACCCGCAATCGTTCCTCATCAATTAAACCATTATCAGCTACGACATCAACAACCCAATATTTGTTGCATGTTCTCTTCGGAGGGTTTGTTGGTGGTCTTTCATTGGATGGCTGAGATGGACCACAACCTTGTGGAGATTGGCTTGAAATTTGTTCTTGTTGGACTGCCAATTCATGTGGCTGAGTATCTATTCCTTGACTAGTACCGATTGGGTTTGAATTGTATCCATGGTTAATACTTGGTTGCCCAATATGATCTTCAAGTGCATGAGCAGTAGAGCTTGTGGATTGGCTCCTAGCAATGAATCTTTTGGTGCGTGCCATTATCCTGTAAATACAAATTGTGTGCAATCACAGAATACAATTTGTGTGCAATTATAAGTCTTAAGCAATAATAATATATCAAATACAACAGAACTTACACATTAATAATTAACTTCACAATACCAAATAAAAAAAACATAATACAATAATGTTTTCA